TAATCTTTTTAAATATCGAATCCTTAGTAATTCGGGAAATCTTGAGGCGAAAAGGAGAACGTATGAATACGCTGCCAGGATGATGATTTTGTGATTCTCGAACCCTTTTAACAACGGAAAACAAAGCAAAGTCTTTCCCCAAATCTTTATCTATTTATATCAAATGGCAGGCGTTTTGATGGTTATCATTAGCCCTTTAGTTGACTACAGGCTTCACAGAGGGGAAGGAACATCAAAGTGAAAAAGCTGAGAGGAAGGGGGGGGGGGGTTACAGAAGAGTGCTTCAAAGACGAAGGTAGAAAAGGTGGAAAAAAAGAGAGGTGAGTACTGTGGAATTGGTTGAATATGACATACAGTGGGGTCACGATAGTTTTAACTCAGATGTCAACTGCCGGTTTATAGACTTTTTGCCGTACGAATATACGTTGCCCAAGGTGCACCACGTGGAAGTAAGTCTATCGCACACCCGTTAGAAGGAAATTGTTTACTTGATAATGACGTGAGTAAAATGTACATTTTTTCAGCTGTATGTATTGCTTCACTTTGAGTAATAGAACGTGCGAATATCAACTCTGCACCAAGATCTCCAAAAATTAAAGCGCTTATGAGCACATTAAGTTATCGGCGTATTATCGAGTTTGAAAATCCAAGGTTTGGATACAAAAAAAGTACATGCATAGATCGATACAGGGGGATTCAAACCTTGAATAGCGAAACTCAACACCACAATTTCCATAAAGTGAAATTATGATCGCTCAGAGTGATCAAAGAATAATTATAATGCATATCAGAATTTCGAGCTCATTCAAATCTAACTCCAATCATAAAGTGAACAAACAATGAAGTCATTTTAAATTTTGGGATTTACTTCGCAAACAGTGCTCAAATTTTCTGAAAACCTTGACATGAATACGACTACTATTTGGTGAAAATAGTACTTACTTGATATTCATTTATTTATTTATTTCAAATGGCAGGCGTTTTGATAGCTATCATTAGCCATTTAGCTGACTTCGGGCTTCACAGAGGGAAGGTTCACCAAAGTAGCAGAAAGTCGAGGGGTGGGGAACAGAAGAGCGATTCACAGATGTAAAAGAGTCAGACAGACACAAAGGCAGAGAAGAGGGTAAGATGAGTACTGTGGAAACGGTCGAATATGACAAGCAGTCGTGCCATGGTATTTTGAATTCAGAAGTCAACTGCCGATTAATAGACTTCTTTCCCGTATGAGTATACGTTGCCCAGGGTGCACCACGTGGAGGTAAATCTATCGCACGACGTAAAATTATTGAAGATCCTGGTTCTGGTCACAAACCAATCACTGCTGGTATTACATTTGGCAGCAAAAGCATGACAAGGAGAATGCCAACTAAGCTATCATGGAACTTCAAGAAGGCCGAGTGGTCTAGATTCATAAACCTTTTAGACAATGAACTTCACACAAGTCCCCTCAACCAAACCTTTTAAGAATGAACTTCACACAAGTCCCCTCAATTGGGACATCCTGACAAACTTTGCACTGATATCACGAATATTATGACATCCTGACAAACTTTACAACGAAATCACAAATATTATGATCAGATGTGCAAAGGAAACTATTCCTCGTGTCAAGACTAAACTCTATCGAGTGGTCTAGTATGAACACCTTGAGGAGCTGAACAGGAACTGCTGAACAAACCGGAAGAGCGGAAGACATACAAGTCTGAAGACGACAGTCAGCTGTGCTAAGGCAAGCCATCTTATAAGCTAAATGAACTACCTTTGGCAACTTTATCTCAAATATCAGCTATCGAAATGATAGTTAACGCACTTTCAAATTCCTGGGTAACCTCCAAAACAGCAAGGAAAGACCCAAGAAAAAACCAATAAGCCTAAACAACAAACTACTTACCACCGACTCGAAATAGCCAACTTCTTTGCGAGATTCTATTCCCATAAGCAATCACAGGCCCTTGAGACAATCAATGCAAACTATCCTGCAGATTAATGGCTTTAAGTCTTCACTGATGGGTCATATATAGAAAAACAAGCAAACGTTGGTGCAGGTTTCTACTCTGAACTCTTCTCTTTCTATGCAGCTGCGGCACACAATAGATCCGCTTTCGAAGGTGAAATAGAAGCCATTAAGATAGCACTAGGCCAATTATGTTGCCTGGATATAAAATTCACCAAAGCAGTTATCCTTTCGGACTCACCGTCAACAATAAACTCAATTAGAAACAGAGATCCACCCAAAACAGCCGAGATATACGAAAGTAAAAAACTCTATCAGCTGGTGAGAGGAAAAGCAAAACAGTGGTCCTAAAATGGATTCATGGTCACTGTGGCATAAAGGCAATGAGCTTGCTGACACACTTGCTAAGAAGGGGATAACGATTTTGCAAGGTATATACCGGCCGATGTCTTTCCACACAATGAAGGCCTTAATCAGAAGAGAATTCCAAACCTCAAGGTACAACGAACTTAAAGCTCGAACGAAGGAGAAACAGTGGACAGTGGCACTCACCGACATAGCCGACTGGTCAAGAATCGAAGACGTTGCTGAGTTTAGACTACGTACCGGATACGATTGCCTGGCAAAATATCTTCACAGGGTAAGAGTATACGTTCAACCAACATGCCCCCATGTGACCTACAGGAGGAAATGGAGATGACCCACTTGATTCGGTGTCTAACCTCAAAGATAACGACGGAAACCCAGAGATACTGGGTAGCTAGAAGACAACTAATGAACTGTTATTAATTAACTGCTATATAAGTTCCCCCCCCCCCTGTGTCAACTAAGGGGATAATAAAAATTCCTAAAGCCTGGCATTTGAATTAATAATAATAACAATAATAATAATAATAACAATAATAAAATTTTTGGATTACAACATTACTCCAGAGAATTTGAGATAGCAGACTGGTATTTATATTAAAATAAATTTATTGAAGAAACAAAATTGGATTATTTGACAAATACTAGCCGACACAAATGTTGGCGAATTCATACTTGGAACGTTGACGTCTGTCGCACAAAAAATTTTAATCAGTTGAGTTTAAATTCAGAATTCATATCTGAAATCTAAGTCATTAATCACTCTATAGATACACCCTAAAACGCTCTTGCGTGCATAAAGATTGCGTGAATTTGGATATCCCTAAAACGAAATCTAGTGCGTGGTCAAAGTCCCATTCCAAGGACACTTGTTTGCATAGCAATATATATATATGCGTCAATTTTACTTTAATACCAAAACTTGTATATAAATACAGGACATCGGTGTAGCAAATTATTCGAAATACACGTTTACATTTCTCATCGCATCATTTGGACGAGGCATATTATGAAATTGAAAATAAAAGATATTAGAAAAGTCAAACATAAATCAAGTGTTCAATATCCTTCCTAGTCCTGCTTTGTTTTAGTCGGTGTCAAGACCGTTTGTGGAAACTCAACATAGAACATCATAAAAGAATGTAATTTCTGAATTCACTTTCCAATTTGTTTAATAAAAACTCTAACACTATAATCACAATACTATGCGATATAACACTACGTTATAACAAGCAAAACTAGGGTAAATTAATATATTTCAAGCGTATATTATTATGATTAGCATTCAAGCTTTTTTCCAAAACTGTTTATGTTACGAGACATTTGTACACGTCAAGCTTTAAATAAGCAGTGTCAACCATTTCAAAAAAACTGGAGGCTTTGGCTAAGTTATATTGGTAGAATTCCACGAGGTTCACCCTGGGCAACGTATACTCATACGGCAAAAAAGTCTATTACCTGGCAGTTGACTTCTGAATTGCTCTTCTGTTCCCCACCCCTCGACTTTCTGCTACTTTGATGAACCTTCCCTCTGTGAAGCCCGAAGTCAGCTATATGGCTAATGATATCTATCAAAACGCCTGCCGTTTGAAATAAATAAATAAATATTGATAGAATTTAATTTTTGGATAGAAATGAATACTTAATTACAGAGAAAGCGATTAAATCAGGCTAAATTATAATTACGTGACTCATTGAGATTTACCTCTTAAATCGTTATTTTGATAACAGATAATTGCATATAAATAGTAACTGGTTCAAATACTTATATCAATAAAATTTTGTCAATAATATAAAATTTTGAAATTAAATGCGTATGAAAATATAGTATTTGTTTTTTTGTTGGCTAAAATACATTTGCAAAGTCAATAGTTATAATGTATACATTTAAACACGTAAAGCGCTTAATTCGATATATTCACGAAGCTTGGATTTGGTGACATTTTCGAGCGTGACTTTTCATCTTTTGGAATAATTATGCCAAATGTGCAGGTAAATATTACAACTTAACTGTGCTTAGATAGCCGTAAACTTCCATTCTGCTATATAATTTACTTTTTAATTCGCGTTTACTTGTGTACATGGGAAAAAAACTTTTGTATACGTTCAATTGAATTTTTTTGTTCTATTTAACTTTCTCTACTTTTATTAGGTCTATATTTGTAAGTCTTTTATTTGTCGTAGCTTCCGAAGAACTTGTGGGTTTGTTTTACGGTAGATTGTTTATTTGTGTAGAAACTTGTATCTGTCTCATAACAAAAGTTGTTCGTTTTGAGCGTATTTTTTAAAATATTGTCTTCCACATTTTAGTTTGACGAGAACTTGAATGATTTGAATCTTTGTCGCTGTTTAAAAAACGCTCCGTTAAAGAATATGATTTTAAAAAGCGGGAGACGGATTACAGACCCAGAAACATGGCAGGAATTGAATCAAGATTCCTCTTTAACGGAAGAAAATGCGTAAGCTACTTACCAGTATAACTAACCATTTAACCTTTAGTCGAACCTATTCTCTCATACAAGCTTATTTGAAAAGTGGAAATGAAAGCGTAAAAAGGTATTTGGCTACCGTTGAATGGGAGGCAACCAATAATCAGCTTACACTTTCTCGTGCTGTGGCGAGTAATTCGCCCGACATGGTTGAAAATCTCCTTCGAAATGGTGTAAGATTTCCATTGCAATTTATTAATTTCGTTTTCTTTTCATGTTTTTCATTGTTTTCGTTTAGTGTGATCCCAATATTGATGAGGAAAAACCAGAATCAACTCCACTAATCGAAGCTTCGAAGGATGGCTTTGATCAGATTGTTGAAATCCTACTTAGATACCGTGCAAATGTTGCCCAAACGACGACTCCTTCATGTTACACAGCACTTCATTATGCCTCTGCTAATGGCCATTTAAATTGTGTTAAATTGCTACTTGAACACGGCAGTCCAATGGAGGAACAAAATGAAAACGGCCATACACCTTTAATGGAGGCCACTAGTAATGGTCACATTGAAGTCGCTCGTTGTTTAATCGAACATGGTGCAAATATTAACACCCATTCCTCTGAATTCAAAGAATCCGCTCTTACATTAGCGAGTTATAAGGTATTTGAAATTGTTCCTAATGGTAAGTTGGCTTATCTCCATGCCGTTCCTACTTTGTGTTTTCTTTATGTTTATAGGGTCATGCAGACATGGTGAAGTTCTTATTAGATGCAGGTGCCTCTCACGAACATCGAACTGACGAGATGCACACAGCACTAATGGAAGCTGCTATGGAGGGTCATGTTGAGGTCGCACGACTTCTCCTTGACCACGGGGCGAATGTTAACATCCCTCAGGACAGTTTTGAATCCCCCTTGACCTTAGCTGCATGTGGTGGTCATACTGAACTGGTTACTCTTCTTATCGGCTATGAGGCAGATATAGAAGAAGTTAATGATGAGGGGTATACTCCATTGATGGAAGCTGCACGAGAAGGACATGAAGATACCGTGGCGGCATTACTTGCAGCAGGTCAGTCCTTTGTCTTCTCCCCTGTTGCTTTTGTATGCTATCACCGTCCTGACCTCTTGCAGTTATATTTGTGTGCAATTTCGTATGTGTGCTGTGCTGCTTGTGCGGAGGTGTTACCTCGATGCTGTTTAAAAGGCATACCATACCCACATGCACATTTGTGCACGTGCACAAGGAGGAATGAGAATCGATTATCTTGAGATTGATTTCTCATCTCTCGATTTTCTTTCTGTTTTTCTGATGCTTGAAGTTTCACTACGTGCTTGCCAAATGGTATTTATTATTGTTTTTCTTATGTATTTAAAGTAGATTATTAGTTTTTGCTTTTACCATTTCTTATTATCTATTAAAGGGGCGTAATAGATGTGAATCTGAGAGATTTTGGGATTGATTTCTTCTCTCCTCTGGACAATCTTTAATGTTTGTCATTTATATTGCCTCTTATCTGTAATACCTCTCTCGATGTACATGTTTAGATTTTTTTGCTAATGCTTGTTAGTTTTCTTTGTATTTTGCTAGCGATTTGTAATAGTCGTAAATTAGGCCTTTGATAGTTTGTAGCTTGATTTTTTGAATTCTCAATAAATATGGAAATACTGGTTTACCTCTTATTTTGACGCAAATTCTATCATTGATTTTAAGAGGAATATATTGAAATCTTTCTAAAAAAATTTAAGTACTAACGAAATAGATAGGTTTATGTAATCGTAATAGACTATTGCTTTTGTATTAACGAATGATTTGATTTATTATTTTATTCGCCACTCAGTAAAAGGGCACCATTTGAAAGCACTCATGCAAACGAATGAAGGAATGGCTTCGATTGTTGGAAGGTTGGTCGTTATTGTTTTTTTAAATTTATTCCCTTGACTAAAATAACTTATTTCATGGGGCTTCATATTACGGGAATCTGGTCTTCTGTGGCGCGGAGTTCCACTTAGATTTTGTTTTTAAAGGTCTCTAGTTGCCCCCTAATATATTTTTTATTGCAACATCTACCTATTCACTTAATATTCTTGGTCTTGTTACATATGGGTAAAATCGTCGCTCCGCCCTCCTATTGTACTTCTAATATATTCTTATATCGTGACTAGCTTTGCTATACAATCTTATGAAAATCATATTTACCAAGCTGTTATTGTAAGTAAATCTGATTGGTGGGACATTTGGAACCCCAGCTTCTCTATTCATTACTCAATTCCAAGCCAATTTGCTAGAACCGGTTTTGAGCAGAGTGGAGATACTCGCTTTCTGACATTGGCCTTTCTATTTGTGTTGTGCATCCTTGCTCTCTCATCTGCATATTGATACGTCACTTTAAATTCCCTTTTTTCGTCCTTTAAATATCGTTGTCACGTCACTTGTATTCACTGCAATGATTGATCAAAAGTATGGCATGCGGACTTGAGAATATGTCAGATTTTTATGGTCTATTTAATTAATAAATTCAATCGTTTAAACTTCCAAAATATAGGTCGGTCGGTGTTTACAAAATTTGCGTTCACTCCTTACTGAATAGCCTTCTGTGCTAAGTATTAAAAGGTCAATTTAAACTCTGACCACTATGGAGAGTTTTTTTCCAGCTTTTTAATTCTCTCGTATCTGACTTATTTTTTTCCATCAAGCTGTCAAGCCACCGTTTATTTTGACGATAACAAAGAAATCGTAATGAAGCAAATTAGTCGTTTCTGTTTTAAATATTGTGAAAACACTAGGATTTTTCGTTGCCAAATCATTTCCACTCTGTGGTAATGTTGCCTCATTTTAAATTGTAATGCTAATTTTCTTTGAAAGCGAGTATGCCTATTCATCATTTATTTATTAATTTCAAATGGCTGGCTTTATGGTAATTATCATTAGCCCTTTAAAATCGTGCCAATATTAGTGGTATTTGCTTTTTGGATTTATCATTTGTTATTTAAATTTTTTAGTCTTAATTATATGTGAATCCAACATTCTAGGAAGTAGTTATTTTACTTCGCGCTGTTTTCCACCTGTTTATAGGTGCTGATGTGAATGCAAAAACCGATGAAACTCAGGAAACTGCGCTAACCCTCGCTGCCTGTGGTGGTTTTATCGAAATTTGTCAGATGCTTCTAAACGCTGGTGCAGATATGGAAGTTGGAGGCAATGGGTGTTCTACAGCGCTCATGGAAGCTGCTCAAGAGGGTCATGTTGAGCTAGTTCGACGTCTTTTACAGCAGGGGGCGAATGTCTTAGCAATGACAACGTCGGGAGATACTGCTCTTCACTACGCTGCAGAAAATGGTCACTTTAAAGTGTGCCAAGAATTGATCAAATGGGGAGCCGATCCCGACCACATAGTACTCACCAATGACCCAAAGACTCCTCTCATGAAAGCTGCCCGTTCTGGTCACTTGGATGTTGTTCAACTCCTCGTTGAATGCGGGTTTCCTATCGATCAAACAACTAGCAAAAATGATGCCACGGCACTTTCTCTTGCCTGTAATGGTGGACATGTTCAAGTTGTGGAATATCTCCTTCGAATGGGAGCTGATCTTTACCATGAACTTAACGATGGTTGCACTATGATTATAGAGTGTGCACGCTCTGGTTCCCCGGCTGTAGCTCGACTCATTATCGACTATCCTCACAGTTTGCATGTTCCCATTGCTATGAATGGATCTACTGCACTTCCCAATCCTGTTCTCCAGCCACCCATATTGACTCAACCCCAACTTCGGAATGGAACGCTTCCTCTGGATGCCACAAAAGCTGCTCAAAAGGTAGCCGTTCAAATGGTTTCCCAACCGGATCCTAAGTTGAAAGAGGCTTTGGTGAACGCTTATGCAATTGGATGGGCAGATGGGGCCGCTTCAAGAACTCAACAAACAGCTCAACAAGATCCCTCGAGGTTAAAGTTAGCAAAATCTATTCTTAAGTGTGGTGAAGAGAGCGCAGACCTTTCCAAAATCACCTACACAGAGGATTTCACCTCTCGGCTCATGACTCTTATTCAAGAATGGAAGGGAGATGGGGCTGAGTTTATTAGTCGGTTGGATAATTTCATGACTCCCATCACGACTGCTGTTGCCCTGACATCTCCACGAAATCAAAATCCCATTATGAACAATAGCAATACTAATCAACAGCAGGAAAACCTCACATTCTCTACGCCGCCTCCTCCATCTCTTCCCACAAATGTGCTTCCAACTTCTTCGTATTCAACGCCCTCCACAAAATCATCACCTTCTGGTGCTGTTCAAACAACGAGTTCAGCGAGTAGTACCACATCTTGTAGTAGTGATAGTAGTGTTACAAATGTTAATTCTCAGCTTGCGGATGCTCTTACTTCGTCTTCAATGGTTCCTTCACCTGCCCTCTATTATCCAGCAATCCAGCGTCAACAGCAACAGCAAACACCTCCTGTTGGAAGAAATGCTCCTGTTATTCCGGCTCTTCGAGCAACATATCTTCCAAACACTGCTGAATATTCTCAGATATATCTTGACAAAAGCATGGGCACACATCAACTACCTACAACGAGTGTTCAACCTTCCCTTGTTACAGCTAATTCTTCTGATGGAAGGGTTCAACAAGTCGATATTAATGCTTATACGGAGTCCTCCAATGAATCTGCACTCACTCTCTGTTGTAATGGGGGTTTCACTGATTTAGCCCGGTTGCTACTTGAACGCGGGGCAGATAAGGAACATAGGGATAAGAAATCGCATACGCCCTTGCATACCGCTGTCTATGCCAATCAGAGGTCGATTGTCAATTTACTTTTAGAGTTTGGTGTTGATATCGAAGCCCAGGTGGAAAGGACTAAAGATACTGCTCTCTCGATTGCTTGCTCACATGGTCGTTTAGAGGTTCGTTTTATGTTTGTTTTCTGCCTCTAGTTTGCTAATTACTAACCTAGTTTGGTGTAATAATTGGCTTGTATTCCACCTCTATTATTAATGATTTTACTTTAGATTGCTGAAGATCTTTTAGCACGGGGTGCCAATAAGGAGCATAGAAACTTCTCTGATTACACTCCTTTGAGCCTAGCTGCTTCTGGTGGCTTTGTGGATGTCATCCAACTTCTCTTAAAAAATGGTGCTGAGATTAATTCTCGCACGGGTTCAAAACTTGGGATTTCACCTCTAATGCTTGCCTCCATGAATGGTTACACAGAAGCCGTGAAGGTTCTTTTGGAAAACGGAGCTGATATCAATGCCCAAATTGAGACCAACAAAAACACTGCTCTAACACTGGCTTGTTTCCAGGGTCAAGCAGATGTAGTCAAATTGTTGGTTGAACGGAAAGCGAATATAGAGCATCGTGCAAAAACCGGTTTGACACCTCTCATGGAAGCTGCATCTGGTAATCATGTCAAAGTTGGTGCTATCCTCCTTAGCTACGGAGCTGATGTTAATGCTCCTCCGGTACAAACCTCTCGAGATACTGCTTTAACCATTGCTGCGGACAAAGGGAAAGCCGAATTTGCTAAACTCCTACTTGACCAGTAAATGGTTTTAATTTCACGCTACTCATTTTATATTTCAGTAGTTAATCTATATACTTATCATTTTAGTGGAGCCAATGTTGAAGCAAGGAATAAAAAAGGTGCTACATCTCTGTGGCTTGCTTGTAATGGGGGTCATTTAGAGGTGGTTCAAAAATTAATCGAAAAGGGAGCTGATGTTAATAGCCAGGACCATCGCAAAGTCAGTTGTCTTATGGCTGCTTTCCGGAGAGGTCATATCAAAGTTGTGGAACTCTTAGTGAAATTCGTTACCCAATTTCCATCAGACAAAGACTGTGTGAGGCAAATCAAAACCGTCTGCAATGATCCGGTGCGTAATACTTTTACTTAAGATTCACTCAACTTTTTTCACCAATTTGTGGAAGGGTTTTTTAACACTCCTGAATTCTGTGTTCATTACTAAAATGCTCATTTAATCGAGTTTTCGGGTTTATAATTTGGCTTTCAACTTAGTCACTCAGTCCCTTCAGCCTATAGGCTATTACATAAATCGACTATTTTATTATTATTGGTGAGTTGGTGCGTGCGTTTAACCGTTGTGTTAACCAATTATATTTGTAACTTTCTCGTCTTTACCAATTGCATTTTTCGGATTTCAAGGACTAAGCATTTTCATTGGATAGTAAGTGCGGGGGTATGTGAAGGCGTTGATGTCGGTAATAGGCTAGGGCATGAATTGCTTGTGACTGATATCGCTGCGTCAGATTACAAACCCTAGCTGTAGGAGGCGTAGGCGTATTAAAAGTCGCCTCTCTACTTTTTGGAATTTTCTCGCACAGAAATCCTCTCTTGAGGTGGTGGAGTATATTGTTTTTTCGATGATCAGCCTTTTCCGCCTAAATTGTAGCTCTTTTTGCATTCTACAACAGTACTGCGGTTATTGTTATTTTCGTCCAACTCCTACTGTAATAGCATTTCAACCAACTAGGGAACATATAAATCATCGTGTCCGTGAAGACTTAGGAAGTGGTTTTTATCAAATACCCTCTTTCCTTCATGAAACAATGTTAACTCATCGTTTATCTGCTGCTACTGCCAAAAAACCTTACGATCTTTTTTATTCACCTTCCCGATTTGAAAACATTGGTTTCACTTCATCCCAAATTTCCAGTGTAACACATTCCAAGCTACCTTCAACTTCTTCCTCCACTACGAATGGAGTTATTTATGAGGTTGATAAGGTTCCTTTTGTTGAACCGGTTACTTCTCCCGTTCTTAGAGCCTCTTTTCTACTCAGGGATTACTCGAACTACACAAATTCTGTGATTAATGACGTCGATGTAAGTTAATCTGGTTCTTAAAAATTTTGCAGTTTTTATAGAAATTTCCTCTCTGCTCATCGAAAATTTGTTACCGAGACATTTCTTTGCTTATATGATTCTTCCTTAATTTGTTTAATGTTCCGTTTTAATTATTTTGCTTCCCTTGTTTGCGATATCTCGCTTTTCTTTATTATAAGTCTTTTAATCTTCTCAATCATCTGCATCTGTTTAAATTCCATAATTCATACCATTACTTGGATTTGTTTGGTTTAATCAGATATCTTAAATCTTTTGTGCTTAAGAGATGTTGTCAAATAAGATAGAATTTCCGTTTTATCTTGAAAATAGTCGTCTATATTTTTATTTCATTCGACTTAAAACTTCCGCCTTCATCGATATGCTTATTTTGGACTCAGTAGTATTTTGAAACTGATGACCTTGTTCAATACTCTTTTTCATAATGTTCCACTTATATGTTGTGTTTTCATCTACTTGTATTTAAATCTGATAATTTTGAGAATTTGTTATTTATTTGCTGAAAATGTGATCGTATAGCCTAATTAGTTGTCGTCTTCTTTTGTTGTGAGTAGTTGCTCTAAAAGGACAACAAAAGCACATGTTTGTGGGGTGGAACACGTTGCTCTCTATTCGAGCTTATGGTGCCTTCAATATTCATATGATCAAGTTTATTTTGACCAAAAAGCTTTACTCCTGCCTTATCTCTCTACTTTGATGTCTGCCTAGCTGGAGAAATTAGTCATCGAGCATGCGAGCCATCACCCATGGTGTTTGTCTTTTGATTTCCCTCAATGCACGCGTACGCGCTTTAAATTCCCGTCTAGTTGCTTTTTAAACCTCCCCCCCCTTCCCTCCTCTTTTAGTTGTTTTGTTTTTTGTCTACACTCTTTGGACTTTACTCTTGTGTATAGCTTCAGTTTCGTGATAATTTATAAGTTATACATTTAATTAATATTACTTTACGTGCTTCAATTTTGTCATCTAACTTTGTGTTCAATAAGCAAAAGTCTTTGATTTCGTATACTCTTTATGAATTATCAGGTTACTTTTACTTTATATCATATTTGAGTTATTTGTTTATCTTTTTATCTCTACTGCTTGACTTTCATAGTTTTTTTTTTAAACAATGAGACTTTTGGCAGTTTGGCTTATAATTTGTCAAATGTTCATTCGTGCATGCGGTAATTTTGAGATTGATTTTCGTCGTTTCCATTTCCCTCCTTTATTTGTTCTGAACTTGTTGATTTTGCGTAAATTTCGAGTTTGAAAGTTTTTTTTGCTCTTTAACGAATATCTTCTCCTGTCTCCTATCACCTGCTTATGCAAATGTCAGACTATGAGCTTCACTTTGCTGTTGCTGGACCAAAATAATTTAGTTAAATTGAGCGTTATTATCGTTAATAGTTTTTATTATTATCGATTTTTGTACAATCAGTATTTAATCAATCGATAATCAGCTGATTGTGTATGTAGAAATTAGAAAATGATGGTCTTATTCCTTACGCGAATTGTTGAGGTAAATTAACTTTACTGGCCCACATTTTATTCCGCTCTGATCACATGGATGTAGTCAATCACAGTCATGACAGTCCTAATTAATTGTCTCTTTTCTTTTTCTCTGTGTGGGAGGCAGGGACCTTAGACATCGGTTTATGAGATAAAATATGACACCTTCACATTTTAAGTATGTTATTGTATTAAGGTTAGCTTATTTTTTTTACCATCTGCATTCATGTGTAAACAATTTTTTTGTGGTGTCCTAAAATGCATATCACCACGGGGTTTCAGTGCGCGTGCTTTCGTTTTAATTTCGTCAATTTAAGGTTATTACCCAAGCCCTCGTAGTTAAAAGATCGTTTTTTGTCAAGTTTTCGCTTCTTATTTTCCTTGTCAAATTTTTTGCTGCGTTTTTTTGCTTTCGCTAAATTGATACTGAGAAATTTTTTCAACATTTGGAATCATTTGTTTCGTAACTAATTCGATTTTTGCATTCTTTTATTGACAAGTTTAACCATAATTAATCTAATGTTTTCACTTGTATTTAAGTATTCCTGCCATTAATTTTCCTGTTGATATAAAATTCTTACTTGCCAGCGTTCCCGGTGAAATGTGTCTAAGGTAAAAACTTAATCGCATTTCACGCGCTTCAATTTCGTCATTTTAAGGTCATTTACTTCCGTCCAATTGTAACCTGGGGATTTATGGCATGACTAATCGTTCGTAGAACTGCAATTTTCTAATTCTTTACTTGATGGTTTCGCTTTCTTGTCTTCAGGACCTATCGGAGAAGTGCCAGCAATGTCGACGAATAATTTCCGCTGCGAAAGAGAAGCAAGAAGGTGAGGCCCGAAAAAATGCGGACCATCTTCTAGAGCAGATAGAACAGGAAGAAGAAGCAAGAGCAAATAGAGAAGCAATGCAAGCCCGAAAGAGGGAAAGAAAGAGAAATAAAAGAAAAGCAAAGCAAATGTCCACGTCAATAAAACCTACTGCTCAAAATTCCGACGATTCGTGTGAATTAGAAACTATTCAAGATAAAACTCCGTAAGTTTGAATACCACGTAGTTAATATCACTTCACTTAGTTCGTGTTTAATGTCAGCTGTCGCCTAGATCTCTACTTTATATTTCAATGTTTCTTTTGAATTAAAAAAGGTCCTCAGTAGTAACTTTGTTTTTTTTCTTGATTTTCATTATATTCTCTCTTTTCCAGTTTTGTGGTTTAGTGAAAATGTTTTTGAATTAAGCTTAGTGAGTATCTTATCATTTATTTAAAACGAGGATATTTAGACACCATACGGTCCCTATCTTTGCTGGCTCTGTTTTTCCCATGATTGTATCTCCTAGTACAACCATTTTTCCAGCTCTCAATTTAACTTGCTGATTTATGATGTCCCCTCCATGTTGCATAGATGTCATCATGTGGTCCCAGTGCTTAACCCCCCCCCCCCGTCTTGTGACTTCTAATGAGTATTTAATGCTTCTTGATCACTCTCTCTTACTTTGAGCAAACGTCCTTTGTTCTGAAAATGTATGATTCAACTATATACGGTACCATTCCACTTCGAATCCGCAATGGTGCTGTGCTTATCTGTGTACATTCGATGGTATGTATGGCTGGCATGTGTATCGAAATTCGTTACATGGCTATGTCGGAATCTTCACTTTGACCAGGCATGTGAAAATTTCGCTCAATTTTGTCTATCTAGTTAGCTGTATAAATCCTAATTGATTTTGTGTAGTTTTTGATTTACATTGGGAAATTTTTGGTGGATGAGTCATGATTGCTTTTAAAGTTATCACTTGATTGTCATCGTTACTAAAACAAAGCGCTCATATATACTCTAATCTGTTGCTCGGCATTGCATAGTGCAAGCATATTTGCGTCGGCATAGTCATAGGAGAATATCTATCGCCTTTTAGCTATACATTTATGGTAATTATCATGTGAATATACACGTTAAGTCATTCGTCCATTTTATTTGCCTTTTCAGATTAGCTAAGATTGAGGCACTTGTGCAAGAACAAGAGTCAAGAGAACAGTCTTCTTCTCCAGCTCTTTCCTCCGTTTCAAAAGAGACTTCTCCTTCAGTGATAAAACCTGAGAAAAGCGAGACAATGTTAATGATCGAACCCTCGTCTAGGAAGAAGACCTCTAGTGGGGAATCTAAAAAACCTATTGCAACCACGACCACTTCCGAGACCGGTAAAAAAGATAAAACTCAAAAGCAGACAAAACGAATTGTTGCTCAGTCAACAACCAGTTCACCCGATCTCGGAGATTGCATCGGATCTCCTGAAATGCTTAGTCCTGAAGATAATTATTGGACTACTGCTTATGATCAAACCTCAGATTCAACTACCGAGTGGATGGTTGCTCAACCGACTAGCACTAATCGTGGTCATCGTGTCTCACCTGGTGAAGGTAGTGATTGGAAAATCTCAGGTTCATCGACAGCTGCTGGTGCACGTAAGAGCAAGCTCTCGATTCCTGTCTCGAACCACGAGATTGGCAAGATCATCGGTCAAGGAGGAGCTGTTGTTAGCGCCTTGCGTCAAATGTCCGGCATTCAAATCGATATTGAAAGTGCCAAGCCTGGTGAGGAGGAGAGATTGGTTAATCTAAAGGGTTCTCCAGATATGGTACAGCAAACTAAAAAGGTCATTGATAGTCTTCTTTCTGGGGCGTTGCCTGGAAATGATCTGATTTCAAGAGTCAAAGCTGGTAAGATGCTCACCTCAATGACTTCTGTAACGCCTAGCAGCGGCAGTAGTCGAGCTCCTCCCACGGCCTCTGTACCTAAAAAGACACCTTCAGTCGCAGTAACAACAAAACCACCAACTACTGCTCAAGTCCCACCTCTTTTGACTGCAAAATCGAACCCTGTTAAAGCTCCCGCGTCAAAACTCCTACCTAGCTCATCTTGGGGTCCAGGAAAAAAATCCGATTTTGCTTCTGTGGCAGCTGGTTTAGTTTCCTCGCAAGACGGGCCTACGAAGGAGTCCAAACCCTCCGCTAAGGTGAAATCAAGTGCGGTTCCTGCCGCTCCTCCTTCCATATCCTCCCTGCTAGATGAACAGAGTTTTCCACCTCTTTCAGCCTGTACAACTAGTACTTCTTCATCTGTAACCGGAAAAATCACTCAATCCTCGGAGATTTCCAGGTATCTTGGACGAAGGTTGGGTGAGTTAGAAATTAACCCAGCAGCTGTCACAACGTCAGCAGTGGATTTCAAGCGGCCTCGAAAGGCGGTTGTTCCGGATGTTCCTGAAACGGTTACGCAGCCTCCAGTGTCTTCCGTTGAATATACTTCTCCTGTCCCAGCGTCGCCTCAGTTTATTTCTCCTCCTGTTTCTCAACCCCAAACAAGCAATGTTGCCGTCCGTTCATTCGATCGTGCCCCAGGTTCAGAAAGACACGCAAGGAAAGAGGCTAACCCATTGACATCTCAATGTGCTTCTAAGGATAACGTTACTTCTACTTCAACACCTTTCAGCGAACAGTTATTCTCTTCCACCTCTGGAACAAGTTTCGGTCAACCTCCTGCTCCTCAAAATCAACTTGGTAGTGGGAATGAAGCTCTTTTTCCTACCCAACCGTCTTCGACTTCGCTTCCACAGTTTGATTTACATCAGTCTTCAATGTGGAATCAGGACAATTCCTTCTCCAATCTTCCTCCACCTTCGTCCTCAACGCAGAACTATGCTGCCGCCAACAGTAGCAGTAATGTTCCTTCTGCCTTTGATGCATTTTTAACCGCCTCGGTGTCTTCGAACGACAATTTCACAGACTCTCGTGATTATCGAACAAGAACGGCCGATGCCTACCTACAGAGTGGTCGGATTAGTAGTACTTTTCCATCTCGTGACTTTGCCCTCTTCACTAATTTGGGAGGTTCCACCGGCTCGATTCCTGTGAGTATTAATAGCAACAATAACAATCAATCGTTCATTGGAAATCGATTGAATATGCCTACCAATAAGCCGGCGCCTACATCATTGCAGCACAGCTTTTTGCAACCAGCATCGCAGCTTTCTATGTTTTCAGATCTGCTCAGCAATACTGCTGCTGGGTCTTCTGGTAACTACGATTTCCGTAGTGGTTTATATCAACGCGATGGCGAAATGCATCAACCACCAGCCCCCATTGGTTCTGAACGTCAGAGGCAACGTCAACAATCTCAGCAGCCCCCGCCCAGCAACTTCCAACAGCAGCAATCAAGCTTATCATCTGCTATGATGGATTCTATGCGTTCGATCTTGACTGCCGGTGGTTATGGCGGTCAACAGCAAGTTCCTGCTCCCCAGAGTGGTTCAAGCCTTAATGCTGTGGGCTCCTCTTGGAGCTCTCAACCAATGCAACCAATACACCATCAGGGCTCCTTCTGGACACAAAACTTATGTAAGTTTTGCATTTACTTAAACTCTTCTGGATTCTATTAGTGCTATTTAGAACCTTCTCTAATCATATTTCTATTGATGTATAAAAAATTTGAATTTCTGATGTCTATTATAAAAATCAATATTTGAATATATTTTTTGCACTTAATTATCTTTATCTACTCTCGTTGCTAAATAAGTAGCCAATCAATTCGATGAATGTAATTTTTATATAGATATCTGTGCATCTGAATTTGTGGTTAAAATATAGAGAACCCGTTTGTTGAATTACAAGTCCTTTTTAATTTCTTGAAATCATTTTCTCGTGAGATTATGTCGAACCTTTTGTATCTTAAATTTTCGTAACTGAAGTGCCTGTTGCATATTGCTCCGGTTACGAAATGTTGCTGCCATGTTGGTTTTATCGATAGAGTATGGTTCTATCATTGGTAACCTAATCAACATGTAATTTGTGGTGAGGGTAGGTTATTCATTGTGGCCTAGAGAAAAGCTATATCCAAGAAATGCTTGGCTTTTCAAAACTAGAATGTGCCATTTATATTCTAAGTGAGTCATCCCTGTAAAGTATAATTTTTTGTTCATTTAGAGATGGCAATCTTTAAGTCCTTAAATTTAAGTAAAGTGCGTCATGGCTTTCTATCATTTCTACAAAAGATAAATTGTTTTTAAGGTATTTATTATATCAAATGGCAGGCATTTCGATAGTTTCATTAGCCA